GATGCACGGATGCTGACTTATTATCGCAGGCGATTGATTGTTTGACCCCCAGCCAGTTTGTTGGACTCCGTATGGTCAGAGTCCTCATCTAACGGTGAGACGTACCTTGTATCAGGGCCTGCTCAGATTTGCAGAGATAGTAGAGCCATATGATCCCACTAGGTGCCTCCGACAGTTAGGCTACGTGCAGAGTGTACCGTATCCCCCGGAGCGTCCGCTTGTTGTGCGTCGACATGCTTCAACGCTTGGATACTCTTTTAGCTACCAGTCTGTTTATGATTCGTGGTGGAACAACTTGGGGGCGCATAGTGTGCATCTGGACCTTTATTCTACTCCAGTACGACGTAGGCCATGGGAGTTTGCTGAGGATTACATGGAGTGGTACATTAGGCACTCGCACCCACAGATACTGAGTGACAGCCGACCTCGTCACGACATCACGGATGCTGATACGGTTAGTACGATCATATTTGAAATTATTTGTATTAAGTAAAATTTTGTTTGATTTCAACTAATATGTATTTAAATTGTATGGTTTTTGTTTACAGTTGTCACGCGAGATACGAATAGATCCACACCCATCATCCAATGATGATTTGTCGTTGGTGCTGTAGTAGCGATGTTAATGCGTCTGATTGCCGCATTCACATCAGAACCGTAGATGGGTGCATATCGCCAATCGTGCTCACGGAGTTCTTAAGCAAGTAGTCGCCTCACCTGTGGGAACCCATCTTGATTACCATATTATGCAAAACTAAGTGCACGAAACCCACAATGACCGTCTGGCACCGGGTCGTGGATGGCAATGATAAGGTCCCGAACGAAGACAGGAAGCAGTTCCATGTGTGCGTAATCAGACAGGGTGTTGGATCCAGGGATATCTGTGAAAGAAATAGATAATCATCACATATTCTACATAAATTATTAATATAAAGTTTTTTAAATTGCACCTGTGTCAGGACAGTTGTATTTGTTGTTTTCTTCGGGATCATCACACTCCTCAGCTGCATGGTCGTCTGACGGGTATTTGTCTGTCTGAGTCCCCGTGGACTTGGTACTGGTCGACTTTGTAGACCCCGACGTTGTGCTTCCCGACTTCTTTTTCATGTTTTTCTTCTTGCCTCGCAGTATCCTTTCCCACCACCCTTTAGTTCTTCCATTTGATTTTTTGGTTGGGCGTCTCTTTCGTGATTCGTTCACTTCTAGATCATGAATGTTGTCTTCTGCCGGGTGGAGACCGCGAAACACGTTCTTTGCTACTTTTTTCGTTGCCTCTGTTCCTCTGCGTACAGCCTCATCAACCAACTCCTGAAGGTGACATTTAACCTCCTCCTCCTGGGGCACGTACTCCTGAGCATTGGGTGGATGCTCGTATGTCAGTGTCCGCCAATATATATGAATATCACCTGGGTATATCTCTATGTCTCGCGCTCTGTCATTCATAACTTCACATCCACACCTCACGCCGTGTGTCACGGAGAAATGACATGCACATCGAGAGTTCTCATTTTTTTCCAAGCGAGCCGCCAATTCTTCTTCAACCTCCTTCATTAATATAATTGCCTGCATGCTGACTGCCCTTCTCAAGTATGTGAAGGGTGTACCACCGAATGCGGAAAGAGTTCTGTCTAGATTTTTCCAACATCATCCTAACCTCCCCGAGTTGGTTAGTAATGTAGTCGTGGTTTCCTTTCCATACAGTGTCCATAGATCCCCGCGAGTTGTGGAGGAAAGTTTTCAAAGCGGAATGTGACGACTCAACCCTGTTTGTGCTCGTATTTCCTATATGAAACACATTTTTTGTATGACAAACTGCCCACTTTTCTCGATGTTGCCACCACACTCCTTGTATGTATTGCAACAGACGTGGTTCGTGATTGCCCCATCTTGTCCTATAGCGGCCAAACGCGGCCAACATACCTTGCTCGGACCAAGAATAAAGCATAGGACACCAATATTGATCGTACGCCTCGTTGACCAAATCCATCATGTCCTTCCCAAATATTTCCAAACACTTCTTCTGCACATTGGTGTTGATGTGCCAAACACATAGCAAATGTGGGGTGCGGGGGAAGACCACAGAAACCGTAGCAAGTAGTCCACCTTCGTGGTCGGTGACGATGACAGTGGGCACGCGTGGATGGAGCAATTGTTGTATGCACTCCAACAACAACAGATACGACTCTTTTGTCTCATCCTTCATGAGAGCACAACAGATGTTGAAATTCTTCCCAACTGGAGTAGCACCTACGACCTCCACCCACTGCCATTTATATGCATTGGTCTTATACGTTGAGTCGATCAGAATCACGTACGGCCAAGCCTTCAACATTTGGATGGAAGTTGGATGAAAAAAAAAGATGTGTAAGCACGTCGTCATCGTCCTTCATAACCTCTGTATGATAATTCTCACGTTCAGCTGCTAACAACGCATACTACATTACATTCATCTCGCCCATCTCGTCTTTCCTAGACTTGGACCCGAGGTTATACATCTGCCTTTGGGTGTGATGCCCTTTGTCACCCTTCTGCTTGTTTATTGTCTGCTTCTGTTGCGACGGAGGTACCCCAGCATCTCTCATCTGCTTCAGAGATTCTTTATCCTCCTGACTGAATTTATTCATTTGACTGTGGCCCTCGGGATAAAGCATCTTCTCATGATTGTGATACCCTCGCCTTAAACCGGTTTCTTGCTCAATCACTGCTTGTATCTCCCAGAATGAAGGACCATCAAGAGCATCTGGATCAACCAGTAGTTCTTTGATTTTAACCTTGAACATGCATCCCGATCCTTTTGAACTTGTATTGCCATGACTCTCCTTGGAAGGATCCGGCTTGTATGACTTCCTCTCCCTACCGCATTTGTCGCAATACATATAACACATACCCAATACTCTATTGTTGCGCAACTCACGTGGCTTCATCGATCCCTTAGTTACAAAGAAACAAGAGACATCGCGATGTTTTTGGTCACTGTTACAGCATCTTCGAAATTGTCATATCGGACGCCATTGAGAAAATGGTCTGTGTAATCACCAATTAGTTCAACATTGTAAGCCATGTCCACCTGCAATTATGATTTCACAACTCGTTAGAAAGGTACAAATTATATGATTCTACAAAATTAAACTAAATTAATTAACTCTACAAAATAAAAATAATTTGACGATAAGAAATTTAAGTAAATATAAACCAAATTAGCTCCACAAATTAAATTTAAACAAAATAAACTAATTACCGCTACAACAAAACACAATCACTTAATTAAACTAATTGTGCTTCAATTGACTCTACAAAATTAAACTAAATGCAATAATTTAATTAAACTAATTGTGCTTCAATTAACGATAAGAAAATTATTTAAATATAAATTATTAAACTTCTTTAGCTCTACGAATTAAATCTAAATACAATAAACTAATTAGCGCTACAACAAAACACAATCGCTTAATTAAACTATTGGGCTTCAATTGACTCTACAAAATTAAACTAAATGCAATAATTTAATTAACTCTAAAAAATAACGATAATTTGACGGTAAGAAAATTATTTGAATATAAATTATTAAACTTCTTTAGCTCTACGAATTAAACTAATTGTGCTTCAATTGACTCTACAAAATTAAACTAAATGCAATAATTTAATTAACTCTAAAAAATAACGATAATTTGACGGTAAATCTAATTAGCGCTACAACAAAATACAATCGCTTAATTCAAACTACATATGAATTTAACTATGTTAAATAGAAATAAAAGAAATAAATTAAATATAAATTATTAGCTCTAGAATTAATAATATGTCTCAAATTAAAAAAAAAACACTGCCGCCTATCGCCGTCCGCTCGCCAGCAACGGGCGCCGTCCGCTTGCCGGCGTCCGCTCGCTGGCGTCGGGCGCCGTCCGCCTCCGGCGAGCGGACGGGCAAAAAAATCCAGGAGGAGGTCAGTCACGGGGTTTACCTGATTCGCTGGTCCGACGATGGGACGTACTGTCGTCCAGTGGCCGGCGAATTATGCTGACGAGATTGGTCCGGTGGCCGGCGACTTAGGCTGTCGTCCGGTGGCCGTGAATCTGGCTATGGTGTTTGTGGGGGGTTGGTGGTCGGGACTCTGGAGGTGTTTATGTTGTTTAAAAAATCATTTCAACGAATAGAATATAAAGAAAATTTTGGAAGGCAAAATTATCTTTTTAGTGTTTTTTACGGGCGGCAAATAATAATTACCTAGGCGGCAAATAATAACCCTAAAAAAACAGTTTGGAAAAGAAAAGGGAAACAAACTATATCGGTTTGTAAATCTCGATAGATAATAACAAAAAGTCAAATATATTTGAGGCCTATAGCCGTATTAGAGCATCTCCATCGCATAGTTTTTTCCAATTGCATCATGACGTGGATGGGAGCTTTGCAATTGCAAACGCAATTTCACTGATGTGGGAAGTTATTCAATTTTGCAAGCTTTCATATTATGAAAGCCTAAATGCAATGACACGTAGATTAATGGCAGAGTTTTTCTTGTTTTCTTTTTCTTAATGTTATTTAAATATCCGAAAATATATTGGAGAAAAACCATTATTTATTTTACATGCAATTGCAAAGAAATAACATTGATGTAGCAACAATAAAATTTAAATTAGTTGGATTGCAAAAATTATGAGGTGTCATAAAAAAATACATATATAATTGACTTTGCAATTACATTGATGTGGATGCTCTTAGTGCCACCCTACATGTACACTACCCACCGTCAACTGTCAAAAGGTATAATTTATTGATTTTGTGTTGTCTCTACTCTGTAACCATTCATACCTACTGACCCACAACAACGGACAATCACTGAGCCAAAGCGAAAAACCAAAGCCGAGCCCATCCAATTCCAACCCCTCTCTCTCTCTCTCTCTCTCTCTCTCTCTCTCTCCCTCCCTTCCCTTCCCTCCCTCTCTCAGTCAGTCGGTCAGTCCTCGTTTATAGACCAATGGTGGTGACCACACGTAAGACCACACTGCACTGCACGGCGAACCTTTTTTATGTTTTTTGAAAAGTTGCTCGCTCCTCAGCACCACGCCACCACCAGCCAAAAATCTCTCCAAAGATACTTCCCTTCCTCCCTCCCTCCTCTTCCCTCTCTTGCATGGCGATCAACACCGCCGCCAAGCCCAAATCCCACAATGCCGGATGCGGCGGCGGCGCCGTCACCGACGGAGATACCAACTCCTCCCCAAGTCCCCCTCCCTCCCCTCCTCCTTCCCGTCACTTCGGCCGCCGCCGGAGCCGCTCCTCCAAGTTCCGGAAAGACAGCTTCCCCGCCGCCGCTCTCCGCTGCAATTTCCGCTACTTGCTCTTCCTCCCGCTCCTCTACATTTCAGGCCTCATCATGTGTGTGGGGCCCTTCTCCACCGCTATTCTCGCTCTCGGCCGGGCTAGCGTCCCCGGCGCCGTGTACCGGAGTCATGAGCTGTTCGAACGCCTCTGGCCGGATATCATTGCCGACAATTCAACCGCAATTCAGGTATTCCGAATATCGTTTCCTTTTTCCGGCTTTCTTAGGTCTCTTTTTTTTGCTGTTTGGTTGTCGAGAAATGGCGAGAGAAAAGGAAATCCCGGCCCGATTCAACGGTAGTGTGGTCCCGTGGAGAATGGTAAAGAACCGGGGGGAAAAAAAGGAATAAAGCTCACTAAAAGATGTAGACGTGATGATTGAGTGCTGGGGAAAATGATATCGAAGCATCCAAAGAAGTGGGTGGCGATTTTCAGTTTCTTTTTTAGAAGACGCTGTATTAGTTCGTGTATCTGTAACCAAGACATTGTTGGCGAGTTGCTTTGAGGACTAATGCTGCAGCTTGCTTGTTGCAGTTACCTTCCGTATGGGAGTACAAAAGGAGGTTCAAGGTGCAGAGACCTTGCCCAAATTCAAGTATCCAGGCGACGAAGCGTCGTTATGCTTGGGCTGGAGGTAGATTATTGCCCCATCCAAGTCTGGAATGTTTCGTCATAACTGTCTATGCTTAGCTCTCTGCTCTGGGATTGGTTTGCTATCCCTGGCCATGCTCAATTAGAAGGGGAATTGATTTGTTTTAGCTCAATTGCAGAGTCATCCGGCTCGTCCGGCTACTTGATTGTTAATGCTAATGGCGGCCTTAATCAGCAGCGCTCTGCGGTATGTTGTTAATCTTTGCTATTCGATGTAAGCTTCAAGTATAGGGATATTCTTTATTTTCGTTTGGGGTACCGCACAAGGATATTGAAACCTCTCGTTCCATCTCAGAAATGTAAAGAAGCTCGGGTTCCATTGGGTAGGCAACATTTTTATGCATTGGCTTCTAAGTTGTTCTGGATGCTTGCTATTTTTTTGGCATAGATCTGCAACGCAGTTGCTGTAGCTGGACTTCTAAATGCAGTATTAGTCATCCCACAATTCGATTTCAATCATGTCTGGAAGGATCCGAGGTAAGGAAATAGAGTAGAGTTTTTTTGTTATAATTCAATCAAAGCCATGTAGATTAACTGAGTCAATTGGACCAAAAAGAGATTAACCGAGTCAATGACTAATGTTGCTTGTAAACATAACTTACATAAGCATATATTAAGCTTTTCCATTTTTCTTGCTTTACTTACGCAATTGACTTAGCCATGTGTAGGTAAACCATTACCAATATTTTGGTCATTCAAATATACAATATTTTTCTTAAAGCAGAATTTTGGTAAGCTGAAAGGATACATTATCAAGTTGCAAGCAAAACTGTGCAGCTATAAAACTTGTCCGCATCACTGTTGAATTTATTTCTTCCTTCGGATTGAGCCTATTCCTTAATGTATAGCTTACATGTTACAGTTCCTCTATTTTGCAGTGAGTTTGGGGACATATATGATCCGGATCACTTCATATCCGTACTTGAGAAACACGTGAAAGTGGCGAAAGCATTACCCGATGAAGTGATGAGGAAATATGACTATAACATGACTAGTATCCATACAATTCGAGTTCCTCCTTGGGCTCCGGCTAATTATTACATGGGACAAATCTATCCCGTCCTAAGAGAGCATGGGTATGTTTTAGATTCTTTTCTTGCCACTGCTTGTTTTGCCCAGTAATGAATATGCTACACAGGCTAAAAGCATAGGAACTGCCATTTTATTATCTGATATGGGTATTTTGCACATGCCTGGGGGATGTTGCTGAGTGGGTTTTTGTTTTCAATCAGGGTTTTGCGTTTTGAACCATTTGCCAATCGATTGGCTATGAGTGTCCCAGCACATATTCAGTTGCTTAGATGCATAACAAATTACAAAGCATTGAGATATGCTTCGCCTGTGTCAACGCTGGCAGAGAAATTGGTAAATCGAATGGTTGAGAAGAGCACAAGAAATGGTGGAAAATATGTTTCTGTCCACCTCCGCTTTGAGGAGGTACAAATATGTACTATTGCTTGCTCAGAGTTTGATGTCTCCAGTTTCTAAGTCTTAGCACTAAACATTAACTCAAGTAGCGAATTTCTTTTCAACTTGTAGGATATGGTTGCATTTTCGTGCTGCATTTACGATGGTGGAGCGGCTGAAAAGTACGAATTGGCTTCATTTCGAGAGGCAGAGTGGAAAGAGAAGTTTAAAAGAAAAGATCGCGAGGTTAATCCTGGCCTTAACCGCATAGATGGAAAATGTCCTCTGACCCCATTAGAGGTACCTACCTTCTGCAACTCCCTTTTAACTTTCTTGTCAACTGAAGCTATCGTTCATTACAAGGAAGGGGGTTTGGGGTGGGGGAAGGGTGGCTCTAGCATTTATGTTTGTGAGTTCCAGTTAATAAATACGTGCTCATAATCCTTCGGGGTTTACACAGATGTGAAGGATGGCCAAGCCAACAGTTTGTTTCCTTAGGTTGTAACAGATTAACTGTATTGTGAAAGAGGCTTCTCTTAGCTACTCAAGTCTCAAAGGAGTTGGTTAATACTTCAATCAACCCTTACTACTGTTTATTTGTGACTTAGTGCCATTATACATTATTTCCCTGTTCCGCAACTAGGAAGCCTTTTCCAACTCTCAAGGGCTGGACATGGATCCTCGCCATCATGTGTAGGATTATTGCGAGGCAAAGTAGAAACCGTTTTGTTGACTGAAGCTAGACTGGGTTGCTCCTTTGGGCTTATGATCAATCACCATTTTGCAAATCCCAAACACAAAGACAAGTGATAATTCCCCATTTGAAAATTAAAGTTGGGGTTGCTTTAGTTATACCACAGCTATATGTTGAGGGCTTTATAGGGGAGTTAGAGTTTTCTTTTGCTAAGATATTGAGTCCGGCACGATATGCTGCATTTGCTGTGTTTGGCTTCAGCTTTGAAAATGCTCATTATGAACATATTCCCTTTTCAGGGTTTATTAACAGGATCCTTGTGACAATTTAAATCCCACTACATGCTCTATTAGCTTGCTGCCTAGGCTAATTTGTAGCTTTGCAGTAATTCATTCGATTCCATCATGAATACTGGCAAGGTGAATGACTCATATTCTTTTGATGTTTTTTTTGTCAGCATAGGTAGGATTGTTGCTGCGTGGTATGGGATTTGATAACTCAACCTCTATATACATAGCATCAGGCAAGATTTACCAAGCAGAAAGACATTTGAAACCGTTGTTGAAAATGTTTCCCCTTCTTTATTTCAAGGAAACTCTTGCAACAGCAGAGGAACTTGCACCGTTCAAGGTAAAAAGATCAAGCTTCTCCTTTCTGCAATCTATTTGTAAACTTGGTGTGAGAGTTTGTGATATTGACGTTTCCTGTATAATATGCACTGTAACAACTTTGCACATTGGCCTTCTGGACAACCAATGTTAAACTTAATAATGGAAGTCTGAAAAACTCTCTCTTTGGGAAATCATTAGAAACTTGTGACCAAAGAAAGTGTATTGCTGCACATGCACCAATCTCGTCATATTCCATTGTTATCTACTTAGGTATTCAGCTGGCATTCACTTTTCTTCTGTGCTTACAGATTTTGGCCTCCTAATAACATTACTGCACTTAAGTTTGTTAGGCTACTGACATCTGCAGTCAAACCCTTGCCCCAACAAACTGAAATGCTTCTATGGGTGAATATTGAAACTTACTGTTAAACCCTTGGCATGTGGAACTATTCCTCTAGTTTTCAAATACTAGCTCAGTTTGACTTCTTTCTTTTTTTGCTGGCAGGGCTATTCGTCAAGATTGGCAGCTTTGGACTACACTGTGTGCCTGTATAGCGAGGTTTTCGTTACAACTCAGGGTGGAAACTTCCCTCATTTTTTGATGGGCCATAGAAGATTTCTCTTTAATGGACATGCCAAGACTATCAAACCGGATAAACGCAAGCTTGTTGTTTTGCTTCAGCAGAAGACAATCAGGTACACTCCACTCTCCATGTTACTTATTGAAGTCGGAGAGCACGGAAAGCAGCTCTGTGAAACTACACAGTGCGGTGCTGTTAATGATGGCTTGATACTCTGTACATGTATGTGCTTGAATTGAAATTTGCAGCTGGAAGGGGTTCAAGGATGAGATGCAAGTAATGCTGGCGGAGAGTGATCGCAAGGGATTGATGGTCCCTAGAGTGAAAAAGATAAACAGAAAAACTTCCATCTACATGTACCCATTGCCGGAATGCAGCTGCCTCCAGGCCCAGAATTCTTCTCACAGATTATCGAACCATCAAGGCTCAGATTTACTAGCTTCTCAGTACAAGTCGACAAGATGACAGCGAGGAAAACCTTCTTCACCGGTCGACTCTCTTGCATGTACAGTCACCTTTCTCGGTTGTGGACGGAGGATGAAGGAATCCAATTTTGGTAACATAGGATTTCATGGATGGAAGTCAATTGGACTGCTGGTTGGAAAGAGTGTTGTTTCCTATCGAGGTCTTTTCTTTGTATCTACATTTGCAGTTGCCAGCAGGCTTGAGTTTGTTCATTGTTCTGAGAGTAACACATGGTGGATATTGGTTATAGGGAGTGCGAGTGAATAGAGAATATACAGATGGTTGGCCACAGAGGCAAGGGTCTGTAAGTAGAGTTAAACCACTAATATGTCATGCTAGCACAATGTTCATGCTACGCTATGTAATATAACTCGAGTTATTGAAAAAACATTACCATATAACCTCGATAGAAAACAACACTCTTTCCTGTTGACTAAGGGTGGAGCTCGGTTAGTTTCGGTTATAACCGGTAACTGAATGGTCCGGTTAATCGAATTGTCGGCCCCTCCTACCGAACACCGACTGGCTAAATACCTCGGTTTATCGACAACCAACCGATTGGTTGTTCGGTTAACTGAGATAATCGAAAAACAACATTCGGAACGGGTCATTTTGGAGGAGGCGGAAAACGGAGGAACGGCGTCGTTTTGGGGGGGACGGGGCCGTGCGGAACGATGATACTTAAGGGGGTCGGTTACGACGGTTAATCGAAGTAACTGGTTTAGGAGTCAATTCTGCGGGTATTCTACCCGTTGAAAGGTATTCAACGGATATTCGACACAAGGTAGAATTCTAACTCTTCCAGAGTGGTATCTCACTGATGACTGTCGGTTATTTCGATTAACCGTCGCAACCGACGCCCTTACCGAACAACCGACAGTGGATAAAACGGTATTGATTTTGGTTAACAGCTAACAGGCGGTTATCGGTTAAACCGTCTGGTTAGCCGATAATCGAATGACCACCCTTGAGTGTTGGCAACTGCAAATGTGGACACAAAATAAAAAGTCAACGCCATGGATGATGCTGTAATTTAATTTTGACAAGCCCATAAATGGCCTTAGCTTCGCATTGAGGCTTGGGCTGAAAAGCGTTACAATAGTTCGGGAAAGCCCGACGATGACGGCCCTATAAGGATTCCCTGACCGAGCGCCAATGGAGCAAATTCAAAAGCTTCAACTTCGCCCCCACTCCCCCATCTGTGCATGACCCACCGTCTGTCATCGTCTCAGCAGCTGTCGTCGACGCTCTCTGCGACCGTAAGGAGAACATCACTGCTCTCTCTGTCTCAGTCGCTTCTCGGCCCTGATTTGTTCACATCCGATGAGAATGGGCTGTGGCAATTCCGACTGATTCGCTTCACCCGTCTTCTATAGTTGCCCAAATTCCCGTCGCCGGAAGGAAATGCCGTTCGGATCGGAAAATGGACCGGGAGACTGACCTTCCGGTACCGCCCGCCCCTGTGGCCGCTAGGAATCCCATCCGCGGCCCAATTACCAACCTGGAAACCACATCTTCTTCTTCTTCTTCCTCCTCCTCCTCCGCCGAGCCGTCCCTTTTCCGGCATGTTCAAGCTGCTTTCAAGCGCCACCGCTCCCTTGGTACGAGTTTCCTCTCTACGTCTAGCTAGCGCCCTCTGCAAATATGCTCTTTATGTGATTCCCTCGCGCTCTATTGCCTTTCCTCCCCAAATTTGTCTCTTCCTATTAATGGCTGAAACCTAGGGTTTAGGATCACTCATAACTTGCAATTGGTCTAAATAATTGGATTTGATGCTGAAGGAAATGAATCCAAGGGTTCTCTGCTGGGGGTTAGTGAGTGAATCGGAAGGAAATATCAGCTGTAACTTCTTCTTTTTCTTCTTCTGTAATGGCTTCCCATATCCTTATTGTAGGTATAATGCAGGCAGATGGTATCAGGCCCCGACGCATGCCCCAACGACAGGCAATTAGAAATTCAGCTGCCAATGTGATGCCCACGATCAACACTGACTCGCATGATGTCACTTCACTGAGTCAGGATCAAACTGCAATGAAGAACCCAGATGCGAGTGTTCGAGATATGCAGGAAGATTTATCAGTTACACCTCCTTCCATTTCAGAAACCATATCTAAACCTTATGATCATAATTTCAAGTCACTCGAGGCACAGAGAGAACAGCCAAAACGTGCAGTTCATTTTAAGGACTATTGCTCGATGCCCCTGTCAGCACCTCATGTGGAGCCTAAACATGATGTTACGAAAAGAAGCGAACAATTCGGTGTAACTAAGACCGGTACTACCCAGGGTAATGTACTCTTCCTTTGAAATCTTTCGGCCGGATAGGAAGAGATTAACATAGTTCCGTTTTGCATTTGACTAACTTTCTCAGTTGTATGTGCTCATGAAGTAATTCTAGAATGATTAATTTCCTTTCTATTGCATTTCTACACTTCTGCCTGACAAAACAAAATGCAGGGCCAGATGATCAAGTGGCCAATGTATTGGACAACTTGTCTTCTCACTTGAATTCACTTGCATTGACAGAAATGGAGTGGGATGTATGCAATCGAGTTGAAGTATTAAATGTTATCCATGATGAACCCAAGCATCTCAACTTTCAGAACCTGGATTATGATGCCAGTGGCAAGTCTGATGCTGCCTTCTCGTTTTCGTCAAACGGAGCAATTGCTATCAAGGATCAATTGCCTCAATGGAGAAACTTTTTAAGTCAACCGGCCACTCAATCTTCAGTTGTAGGTACAACATGTGCCACCACAACATCTGTGCATTCTACTTCAGCACCAATGCTAAATTCCACAACCTACAGTTCACAGCCACTTCTCGATTGTGGTTCTCATGCGGCAATTGAACCCCCGAGAGAAGGTCATATGAGTTCTCAGCGTGCAGCTGAAGGAAATTTGGAGGATTCTTCAAATTCCTTGGTGAAGGGCACAAGTAGGATGTTAATTGACAATGCAGCCATTTCTATCCAATCTTCTAGCTGTGTCATGGACACAAAAGTTGAGGAACATCAGCGGCTTCGTGATCAACAGAAGGCCCAAAAGGAAAGTGGGGTTCTGGGTAATCCTTTTCATGTTGATGAAAAGGGGAATAAGGAGGGACAACCATCTGGTTCTGTTGCTAATGTGAACTTTGAGAGCCAGGTTTCTATGAATCCTTCATTAGATGTAAAGTTGGAGAAAAATGGAAATCAAGAAAAGGTTACTAGCCGCAGTGGCACATCAGGTCCTCGTAAGAGAAACAGTGACCCTGATGCATTCTTTGTAGTTAATGGTACACGCTATCAGAAACTTGGTAAGATTGGTAGTGGTGGAAGCAGTGAGGTTCACAAAGTAATTTCTGCTGATTGTACAATCTATGCACTCAAGAAAATCAAACTGAGAGGACGTGATTATGCAACAGCATACGGGTTTTGTCAGGAAATTGAGTATCTAAACAGACTGAAGGGAAAGAACAACATCATACAGCTGATAAACTATGAGGTATGTGCCTTGAAGCTTAAGAGTTCGGTTATATAATTTGTACGAGATGTTTGGGCCTCAATGTGTATGGGAAAATCTTGTCCATTCTTCTAGTTCATTTAAGAACTTCAGGCCTGCTAAGGCACTTTGTTCATTCTTCTGTAGTATTATTGAGATCTGCTTGGTTTATGCAAATCACTTGCATTGTAAACAAAAAGTAAATTTAAGGATGGTAGAACTGGTCAGTCTTATGCTTGCTGATTTTATTCCCACTATAATCCTATTTTCAGGCTAGCGCGTATAATTTCTTCTCGCTTCAGTGTTTTTGTATTTTGGCATGGCTAATACTCATTTCTGGAATAGGTGACAGATAAGAAATTGCTACAAGATGTAATCAATGGCTCCATCAGTAACAAGGATGGCAAAGTCAAGGATGATGCATGTATATATATGGTTCTTGAGTATGGGGAAATTGATTTGGCTCACATGCTGTCCCAGAAGTGGAAGGAAATGGATGATTCGAGTCAGACTATAGATCATAATTGGCTTAGATTTTACTGGCAGGTACATGAGTTGCATTTTAGCGCTGCTAATCATATCCTTTTTTTTGTGGTGTTCCAACTTCACAATGCTCGTGACCATGTGTTTCATTCTCCTTGTAACTAGTTTAATAATGACCATGGGTTAATATCTCAACTGTTATAGATCATTGCTGGTTTTGACTGGATCGTTGTCATCTAATATGGGTTGATGTTTGTTCTCTTAGCTACCCATCTTAGAGTGCACTATCCAGTCTTTCTTCATCATGGTGACTAAGATTTTCTACTTCTTGTTTTCCTTAAATGTCCCGCAGCAAATACTTCTTGCTGTGAAGACCATCCATGACGAGCGCATAGTGCATTCTGACCTGAAGCCAGCCAATTTCCTTCTTGTTAAAGGTTCTCTAAAGTTGATTGATTTTGGCATTGCCAAAGCAATCATGAGTGATACAACCAACATCGTGAGGGACTCACAGGTAAATGTTTTGCTAGAACCCTGGTTTATACAAATTGTTCTGGCAAACATTGCAAATATTGGGTATTAGGGTTTATCTAACAATCGGAATATTAGTGAGCCTCTAACATTTGGAACATTAAATTGAATATCCCTGAACTAATAATGCACCTATTATTTTCATCCAAGATATCCCGTTCCATTCTGTCTACTAGGCATACTATGCATGTGTTCTCGACCATATGAAAGGATAAGGGAATAACTATTAATAGTGAGTCTGGCAGACTTGATGAGTGTCTCAACTTTCAATCCTAAGATTCAATAGTTTCTTCATGCGTGGTTTAAGGATTGGGATCAGGGAGGGTTTCCTTTATCTATATTCTACTGGCCTGATAATGAACTACCAAAGTACTTGAAAAGATTTTTCTAAGTGATTTTGTTGATGTAATGATATTATTTTTATCATGAAAAGAGTGTTTATCAGCTTTTGCTTACAAATATAAGTAACATTTTTTAAAGTTTTCTAACGGACGTACGAAGAAAAGACACTAATGAATTAGAAATCCCCCTTTGTGATCACTGCCCCTCGGAGAAGCCCTTTGCTGTGAAGATTAATTTAAGAACTATGTCTTTATCTTGCTGAAGCTGTCCATTCTGTATCCCATTTCTGGTACTACTTAAGTAGAAAGACTACTTCCTAGAAACTATAATATTGGCAACCAGTGTGAAGAGCTGTTGGTTGTTTTGGAACCGCATGTGATTGATTTCCTCGTTAATTTTCTGCAGGTAGGTACTCTTAGCTACATGTCCCCCGAGGCATTCTTGTGCAACGAGTTAGACGCGAATGGAAACGTCATAAAATGCGGCCGATCATCAGACATTTGGTCCCTCGGCTGCATACTGTACCAAATGGTATACGGGAGAACGCCCTTTTCCCAGTACAAAGCCTTCTGGTCGAAATTGAAAGTCATAACTGACCCGAATCATGAGATAACTTATGAACCCGTCTCCAATCCTTGGCTACTTGACCTCATGAAGAAGTGTCTCACTTGGGATCAACACAAAAGGTGGAGGATCCCTCAGCTACTAAAACACCCCTTCCTCGCTCCCCCAGCTGCTGCTCCTGCTCCACAGCCTTCATTGTCTGAGCAACAGGGCTTTAAGCTGCTTCAACTTGTTGCTGAAGCCTGCTCTGGCGACCACGAGGCCGCTACGTTCTGCAGCGAACTCCAACAGTTGCTGAGTGCTCCAGTGGCTCCTGAGTTGTTGACATCACGGGCTCAACAGCGTAGCGTGCTTGGTAACATGACCAGGCTTTGCGGCAAGATTGAGGAATGCTTGATGAAACTGGAGAAAGACTAGAGGTGTGTTTATAGAGCTTTTTGTTGTCCTGTTTGTATATGGAAGTGAAAAGGCAAAATGTATTGATGTTCTACTTCTACCATCAGTCTATCTATCTTCTCCGTTCGCTTATAATTTTTGTTTACGTATATGACTACGTCTATGAGGCTTGTGTTTTCTGGTTCCCTTTTTTTTGCCTCATGTTATTGAATCCACTAGCATTAGGTGCACAAATATGAGCTCTCAAAATAGCCGATGTCTCTTCGATTTTGCTAGATAGCCACAACTAACCAAGTGGATGTTCCATTCACGATGAACGAATGAAATCAAGTGAGACTCCTAGTGGTTGCCAATGTAACAATGTTTATGGAAACTTTTAAGCAACCGGATTCTCGCCACCGCAAGTCGAGTTGGTATGGTTGGTGTCCGAATCACAAGAAAATGAAGGAAAAAGTGTGATTTGTATTGGCGTCATAATCACAAAAGCCGTTTTTTGCGAGTCAGGTTGGTGTCGTTTACACATGGAAAAAAGTTAGTATAGTAGATCGGTACAATACGGTTCAAAGCCTACATGTTATAATAAATCATAACAAACAAGTACGAGAAAGCACAATACACGATTTTTACGTGGCATTCATCAGGACTAATTCATGTGAGAGATGAACCTCTCCGGCTGCAGCTGATATTATTATTTGATAGAGTACATGGCCGAATGGCCTACAACAACTTTATATATAGAGTCTCCTACTCGGTTTTCACTAGGGTTAGCACAAAAGGAACAAGTATTAATTATCCTTGTCTCCCAAGGAAGTGAACTTCCCACGTGAGCACAAGTGGGCTTGAGTTTCTTTGGCTGATGCTGGTCACGGTCCAATACGCCCCCACAAGCTGAGCGGTGATCACGAACGTTTAGCTTGGACAAAAGAAAAAGAAATCGATCAGCGCCTAACCCCTTGGTGAAAAGATCTGCGAGCTGGAGGTGAGAACTGACTTTGAGAGGTAGATTATCATCAGAAACAACCCCTCTCGCACAAAATAGCAATACATTTTAACGTGCTTTGGTCTGCTCGTGGAAGACGGGATTTATAGCAATGTGCAACGCAGCTTGGTTATCGCAATGAAGAGGTGTAGGACGAAGCTATGAAACACCTAATTCATGCAATAACCAACGTAACCAAAGAAGCTCACTAACAGTACTGGCCATGGCACGATACTCAGCCTCTGCAGAAGAACGCGCCACCACCTTTTGTCGCTCGGTATGCCAGGAGATAGGAGCAGAAACAAGGGAAATCAAGAAACAAGTAGTGGAGCGACGAGTTGACTGACAACTACCCAATCCGCATCACAATGAGCAACGAGCTCAAGTGAATTATCTGCACGGAAATACATACCCTGACCAGGAGAAGTCTTCAAATACTGCAATATACGCATCCCCGCATCCATGTGCCCCTGTGTAGGAGCATGAACAAAACGACCAAGGATATTTACCCCCTATCTGATATCCAAACGAGAAACCGCGAGATACAGAAGTCGCCCAATCAGTCGTCGATAAGATGAGCCATCAACGAGAACGTCATACGAGGGCTTGGTGAGATGATGATTCTGCTCCACCGGGAAAGCACTAGACCGTGAACCAAGAACCCCAGCCTCGACAAGGATGTCTAAAACATACTTCCGTTGATTGATGATGATACCACTAGAAGATCGAGCCAACTCGAGACCCAAGAAGTAACGTAGAACACTAAGCTCCTTAATAATGATCTTTAGATCAAGAAACTGCTTAACATGACTAATGAAATCCATATTATTGTCAGCAAGGATCACGTCATCGATGTATATCAGATTAGTGACAAAAACATCTCCCCTTTTATAGATGAAAAGGGAGTGATCAGCCGGAGATGCACGAAAGCCAAGATCGCCGAGTGAAGTAGTGAATTTTTTATACAAATTACGAGATTCTTGACACAAGCCATAGATGGACTTGTGAAGTCTGCAGACTCGAGAATCACCATCCATACCAAAACCCGGTGGGACCTTCATATAACTTCTTCAGATAAGTTGTCATGTAGAAAAGTGTTGTTGACATCGAGCTAGTAGCAACCAGCCACAGCTGGCAGCAACCGCTAGTTGACAACGAACTGTGGCCAGTTTAGAAACCGGAGCAAAAGTATCATGAAAGTCCACTCCCTCGATCTGAGTGTAGCCCTAGTATGAATACGGGCCTTGTAGTGCTCAACAGAACCATCAGAACGGTATTTAACCTTAAAGACCCATTGGGAATCAATGCAACGTTTCTCGAGAGGAAGATTAATGAGTTCCTAGGTACAATTGGCGATTAGTGCCTAGATCTCCTTGACCGCAGATGATGGTAACCAGTGGAATTCGCAAGGATCCTGCGCACGAAAAGGAAAATAATTCTCATAAAAAACTAGATCACGCGAGATCTGAATTTTATGTTTAAGTAATTCTCATAAATAATTCCATGATTATCCTTGGCATACACAAGACTTTCGAACACGCGTTTGTGAGAATATGAAGCTGGCCTGTCAAATAAAAGCTCATACGGAGTTTTCACTGTCGCGATCGTAGGTATACGATTGATGATATAAACTGCAGTAGAACGTACTCACCCCAAAATCGGATGGGTAGTCCTGCATGAAATCTGAGTGCCCGAGCCATTTCTAGAATATGGCGGTGTTTGCGCTCCACAACACCATTTTGTTGAGGGGTGTCCGTACAGCTCGTCTGTAGGATAATACATGTCTTCTCATAATAATCACTCAGAGAGGTGGTTGAAAACTCCAAACCATTATCGGCTTGAATCTGACAAACTTTGTTACCAATTTGCCTATTAGCCATCTCATAAAACATAGTAATATATCGAGCTACCTCGGACTTGAACTTGAGAAGATAAACCCAAACATCACCCCTAAAAACATCAACAATCGTCAAAAAATAATGGGCACCACTAGTGGACACAGTCTAATAACCTCCTCAAATATCAATATGACTCAACTCAAAACAATATGACGTCTTAATCGAACGAACCTGGAAAGAAGTTCTACTCTACTTAGCTCGAAAAAATGAATGACATGGGGAATTATTTTTGACTGCCAACATAGAGATAAAAGAACTAAGCTGATGTAGCTTCTCTAAGGAAAGATGACACAAACGAGCATGTCAGGTTGCTTCGGTGGCCTTACGACATCCATCAACCGAGAAAACTAGCTGCTCGCGCTCTCCAAATAACTTAAAGTAATAGAGACCATCACGGAGAATCCCCTTCCCAATCACACTCCTGGATTGTAAGTTCTGAAGAATACACAGATCACGCAATAATATTATAACCACATTATTATCCTTGCTTAACCTGCTGACCGATAATAGATTGCACTTGAAATTCGGAACATAGAGCATCCGATCAAGTTTTATGCCAGATTTCAACAATATAGAGCCAATACCCCCGACTGGCACACTATTACCATTAGGGATCTTAATTGGTCGAACAACGTCAGTAAGCAAATCACCACAAAACAAAGATGCATCCTTGGTAATATGCTCGTTGCAATCAGAATCAATTAACCATTCACAATCACCAAAAGACGTACCTGGCATATGAGCCGAAGGATCCTCAACTGTTTTAGACATATTGAAGAAATTACGAAGTTGATCAAGTTGTGTCATGATAAATCAATGCATGGGACTAGCTTTAGACTCGAAAGCTGTTTCCCTTGGAGCGCGCTCTCCCTGACGGCGACGTCGATGATCGCCCTTGTCACCTCATTCACCACTATCACAACGATGCTTGTTCTTATCGGTCTTGTCATCATCACTGCGGCTAGGATAGCCAATGATCTCATAACATGTCTCCTTAAAATGGTCGACCTTCCCACACTGTGAAAAAAGACGCTTACCCTTGCTGGTGCGAGGCCAAGTTGAACGATCGTTATTATTTTTGGCGGCAAAGGTTGTTGCCTCGGGCTTGGGACGTCGTTTATGCGCAAGAAGGCGTTGTTGCTCATCTGTGTTAACAATATTGTATGCTTCGGTGAGAGTTGCACGGGGTTTCATGGACAAAATCTGACTTCGAACTGTACAAAAGCTCTTGTCAAGACCCATGAGAAAGTCGAGGAGACGAGATGCTTCTTCTCGAGATCGAGTTCTGTCCTGCAAACCGCACGTGCACTAACCACAAGTGCACCACTCAAGAGGTGAAATAGACTGAGCCTCCTCCCATATCGTACGAATGCGAGTATAAAAGGATGAAACAGATAACTTCTCCTGCCAGAGCACGCTAAGCATGCGACGGAGTTCATACACTCGCGTTAGGCTGCCCAGCCCAAAATGCGCCTTCAGATCCACCCAAACTTCGCGTGTTGTCTTCGCGTAACGCACAATGATTTCATTCCCGCAACTCGAGATCCGCAGAAGGTTGAGGAAGAGATCCATTGACAAACCAAACTTATTTTTGACAATAAGTGCATCTGTAATATCAACGAATCACTCACCATAGTTTGAAGACGTGAGGGCTTTACTGACCGGAAGTTGTCCATTGATGTCGGACTGATGCAGAATATAGACATAAGTAGGATCTTGTTCGAGGGCGACTAACTCCTTCTTCGAACCAGAACATTGGGAATTCTTTGAATCCTGATTGTCACTCATTGTGACCAAATTGATGAAGGATTAGGGTTGGATCAATCCTCTGGTACCATAATAAATCGTAACAAACAAGTACGAGAAAGCACAGACACGATATTTTCGTGGTATCCCTGACGGTTAATCAGGACTAATCCACACGAGTGATGAACCTCTCCGGCTGCAGCTGATATTATTATGTGATAGAGTTCATGATCGAATGGCCTACAACAACTTTATAAATAGAGTCACCTACGCGATTTTCACTAGAGTTAGCACAAAAGGAATAAGTATTAATTATCCTTGTCTCCCAAGGAAGTGAACTTCCCACGTGAGCACAAGTGGGTTTGAGTTCCTTGGGCTACTGCTAGTCAGGATCCAATATGTTATACTAGCTTTTATTCGGTCCTTGACCGAATGAGTTTTGTTTTATCCTTTACATTGGTTAGTTTATAATTATATTTAAAATATTTACCCGACTCATTGGTCGGATGAATTTATTTTATGTCTATCAATTTATTCATGTTTTTAAATAATTTGAGGTTTTCTAAAAATGTTAATTCATTATCCAAAGTAATCTTTATGGTATCTATTGATCATGAAATTAGTGATAATTAGTTAATATGTATTGGTTTATTAAGTCGTCATAGTTTACTGTTGTGTATTTTTGTCATATCTTAAAAGAAATTTGTGGACTTTTT